ATACATTGGCAGGCCTGAATAGACAGACTCTCCAGGATACCTAATGCGCAACAGACCGCAAGAATTCTCTATTTTTTTGGAACTTATTAGCAAAGTACTGAGATACATACACTAAAATCAAGTCATTTTAAGTAATATGAGTTAAGAAGTGAGAGGGCAATAAGAATTGAGATAGCTAGTTGATTTTTAATGAGATATGGACACTTCCTTAGTTCAGAACTGTAAACAAGGCATGATGTTTGTAAACAATGATTTGAAATTTCCCAAGCTATAAACCAGACAGTGTCATCACAGATATGATGTCATGATTAAAACCTACACCTTAGAACTCTAAACAGCTTTCCATTCTCGCTGCAAAGAAGTATGGGTGATTTGAAAGAGATTAAAACGCTATTATTTCCCTATCACAGGGATTTTCTATATGTGCCATCTTTAATTGTTCAACTTAATAAAAATAAGCCATCCAAAATCAGAGTGCACATTTTGCTATTAATATACAAAACAGTAATTTAAGTTATATGTATAGAAGGCAGAGCCTTTTGCCTTGAGGTAAGCATTCTGCAAGAGTAATGCAGACATACAAAGCAAGGGTAATAAGATGACTCTTACCCACCTGCCACACGTCACACATTTTAGCCTTTTCCACTCCTCGCGCTGTCAGAACAGTTTTTGGGAACACGTCTACACAACCCAGCCAATATTCCTGTTCTGATGTGTAAGTGGCAAATTGTAACCTCCATACCCATGATTAGCTATCACCATCAATACAGGGGGACAGACTTCAAGGAAAACATGCATTAACCACATCTGTATATAACAGTTCTGGTTTTAAATTGGTTTATTCTAGTTCATATTTTATCCCATTTTAAAACTCTGTACAGCAAGAGCTATGTTTAATGTTTCTGGGATTGTTAGCACAGGACACTGAACATGTGTGGGGTCTTTGGCTGCAGTTACCATACCAGTATTTATCACTAATTGTTTGTGTGTGCAGGTGCACACTGATGAGTGAGCAAAACAGTAGGGCTCAGAATAAGATGCCTCTTTCCTTTTCAGAGAGGCCAAAGAGGGCTGGCTGAAGCTCTCAGCAGCAGGCTTTTTCACCAGACACTCTTTGGAGTTTTGCTGGCTCTTGCATGTTAACATCTCACACTAAAAAAAGTAGATTGGCTGCCGTTCACAGGGACCAATTTCAAGGGCAATTTTTTGGCACCAGAGCTGTTTATATTGAAAACAGAATAAAGCTAAAATCCAGCTACCATTATAATTTCAAAACCCAGTAAGACTCTAGACATGTGTTTTACTTGCTTATTACTGCTATAATAAAAAAAATATGGGGTATTCAACCAGAACATCCATGTTTATTTTAATGTGGATTCATCATATAATCAACAGGTTTTAAGCTTACATCAGATGTCTCATAGAAGATATTGCATTGCTTTTAGAACCCAGGCTCTTTTCTTCCAAGAAATACAATCAGTGCATGTAAAAATAAATGCCAAGGTTTCAATTATTAATATTGATTTCTTTAATACGATGCTCACTAGTGTATATTACTTTCCAAATGGAATTCTTACACAGAAGGCTATGCTCCAGTATCGTAAAGATACTAAGTGATACTTACCTATGAAGCATTCACATGTAAAAATAATTTTGAACATAACTGTACAAGCAGTTAAACTATTTGTTGAGAACATACCTTATGTAAAAGCTGTAAATTCAGACCTCAAGCCATCGCCAGACTGTTCAGTAAAGATATTCTACATAGCATTCTTGAGCTTGTTACAAACAGAACAGACAGAACACAGTCAAATAATTCCTGATCTGACTGAAAAGAATAATAATCAACAGACATGAATATACCTGTGATAATCACACTGGTTGATATGCCCTTTAACATAGGAACAAGTTTCTTTAATAAAAGAATAGTGTGCTCAGATCAACTTTCTTTTTTAAATTTTCCCTACCATCAAGTTTTAACAGTCCTGCCAAAACACTTGAGTATTCATTTTTTTTAATCATCATGAAGATGGCAGCTAGCATTTTCTGGTAACTAGGTGGTCAGAACCATTACAACACAGGATTCAATACACATTGGAAACTTTATTTTTAAAATTCACTGGCATAGATATTTATTGTATAAAATGTAAAACATAACCTCACAAGTAAAAATAAAGTCTACATCTGAAATCACAATTTTACTGGCTAGCACGGAAAATAATTATTTATAAATCACCATGTCCACAAATTTTGCAGTGTTATGATTACCATCAGCCTCATTATAAAGAGGAAACACAGGCAAATATCTAAATGACTTGCCTGAAGTCACGGTGAGTCAGTAGCTGAAATGAGAACACAGTCCTGCTCTCCCGCTTTCCGCTCCCTGTGTCCTAATCACTGATTCAGCAAGAACTCAGGCTCCATGCCACAGATCTTCACTGGGTGTAAGTTAAAGTACCTGACAGCAGCTGAAGAGTGCAAGAGAGGGAGATCCCCACAGGTGGATGACTAAGGTTTATGAAGTTATCCGTAACTAAATGACTTATGTCATTTTGGTACGGTAACATTCACATACCGAGCAGGATGTTACGGACCCAACACAAGCAGCTGAGCAGTAAGCTCACCAAGAGTGTTACTCTCTTGATGCTGTCTCACAGAGCCCTTGTCTGGAGCAGGTCTGCCCTGGTTCTTTCCTGTAGATTATCAACAGTGGCTAAACTGCATAGCCCACAACCCAGTCCCCTCTCTCCTCTCGCAGCACAGTAGATCATTACAATTAGAATCAGTTCAGATCCATTGTTTCTATAATATCTATGACACTTGTATCAGTATTTGACAAGCTCTGTTGATAACTGATAACTGTCAGAGATTAACCTTTTAGCTTGAATAGTAAAATATTCCATTTTAAACAATTACCAATGTTTTCCTTTCTTACTCTACCACTAAGTGTTCTACAAACAACAGTTTAGTTATGTTACTGTCATATGGGTCTTATCAATTCACATTTACAACACAAGGATTTACTTGTAAAACCCAGAACATTTATGAATATTTTGCAAATTAAAATTCTGGGTAACAGGAACAACCTACCTCTAATTGTTCTTTACGCATCTCTAAGTTCAACTAAATCACATTGCAGCAAAACATTTAAAGTGACAGTGACTTCTGCAGGAGATTTTTACTCTGAAATAAACAAAATCATTACTATTTGAAAAATCAATCAGTGAAAACCAAGAGAAAAAAAACTAACACATAATTTTCAGGAGTGAGGGAAAATTAAAACTGGTAAAATTTTTTGTCTCCATTCCTATGGGAGACATTTTGTCAGCTTCCAAGGAACACGTTCGAGTTTCACTGGCTGGCTGAAGCACGCAGTGCAGATTTAGTGGACAGAGAACTTCATGCTGTGAGTTTTAATGTTTTGCTACAGACTCAAAGTAGAAAAGTAGGTCTAGAAACACAGCAATGTCATGTAGAGAAGAAAGAATAAATGACAAGCTGCAGGGTCTCTTCAGGACCAAGTTCACATTTCTATATGTAGATTCAATTTTTATATAAAGTAAGTCACTAAACTTACTTGCAGTGAAACCCATTGTAACTGTCTGGATTACTGCCTCCTAAATGTGATCTGCAGATGGTGGTCTGTCTGATATCAGATGATGATACATAAGCAGCTGCTTAAAACCCTCTAATGCGTAAACATAAGCAACCAAGGAAAGAACAAAATGGAGGAAAATGAAAGCAAACATTCAAAGTTAAGCTTAATTTTTATTTGGCAGTAAATAAAAATCACTGTGGCAATATTCTACAAGATGATCACTGGGTGGAGTTTTTTTAGGTGGCCATTGGAGTACAAGGCAAATTGAAAAGTATTACTGTATGCTTTTAATATACAGATCATCCAGAGCCTTTTTTTTTTTTTTTTTTTACAGTTTTTGTCTGCATTGCAGGTAAGGCTTCACAGTCACAGAATCAGATCAGAGAATTCCTGTGATATTGTCTATTGATTTGGAAATGAGATTTCAGGTAAGTATGTGGATCCATTTGCACAGACAACTACAAGTTTGGGATCACTGCAGCATCTGTGTTTTTTCCATTCTGCAGATTAAACCATACTATCATCTTAAATGAGTATATCACAAGTTCATATGACAAGCAGAACGTCACCTGAACTAAAGGGTGAAAAGATTTTGCAAGTTTACAACAATTAAAATGTATTTTTTCTTTCCCATGTCTTGTTTCTGAGGTGGTTTTTAAACAAGTTAAAATAAATTTATGGCAAATGATCAGTATGCTGTGTCTGAGAAATATTTTCTTTCTGTATCAAAAAAATTCCCAATTTTCTCTTCTGTGACACTGCAGTAGAAAAAAATCTACTATTCTTAGTCATATTTCATGTTGTTATAAAGACTTTGGTATATATCATTCTAGCCAATAAGGAATATATTAGAATGTGAACAATATGGAAAAACTAATGAGGATTTTGAAGTCTGTATTTTATTTTGGCACACCTCCTAAATATTAAATAAGCTTATCGTCTTTCTGTTCTACTACTTCATGTTTAAAGGTCAAATCATATTTTTGGAAAGAAGTTATGTTCCAGCTTTGTTTAGTGTAGCAAATGCTAATATGCATTTTAAAAATGCTTTGTATCAGATATTTCAAAGTATATTAAAATAATTTTTTCTCTACTCATTGAGGTAAATGGGAAAAAAGATGCACCAGAAATGACTGAGAGGGATCCTGGGCTAAGGAACAATCCTTGAGTTCCCTCTTCAGGCAAAAACATAAGCCACGAACAGGAATTTTGCCAGAAAAATGAATTCATAAAACAATTGTCACCTTTTATATTTCCTTCAAATCAGTGCTCTCACATCTCAGGGAAAAAAGGCAGCTGTGAATGAAAAAGTAGGCAGAAGAACCCTAGCTGTCTATAACTTACAGTCCTTGCTGAACTCTCCCATCCTTTAAGAGTTCCACATCGTTTTCCAGTCTAGTGCCTTTTCACAGGCAAACGTAACCACTGAACAACAATCACATAGGTCCACAAGTTACATATACAATTACAGTATAGTGATATCCAAATTTCAGTAAACTCAGCATAATTTACAGCCAAACTATGCAGAAAATGCAGAGGAAACAATTCCCCAATCTATTATACAAAACAGTTTGCTGAAAATACAAAGAAACCTTCTCCTGAGAGAAAAATCAGCAGAGTAGAAAAAATAAAGTGCACCTTCCTTGAATGTTATTTTGCTTCAGCCTCTTCATCCATGAATTCAACCAGCGCAGCATGTCTGTTGGCCTGGGCACCTTCTTGGAAATTAACCTTTTTTATCACTCCTGCCTTTGGAGCCCTTATGGTATGCTGCATAGAAACAGATCCATAGTGAACCAACCAGCAGAGTACCTTTTTTTTTTCTTCTCCTCTCTCTCTCTCTCCAGCAAAGGTTAATATTACTCCCTGGTGCAATTAGAACAGAACACACTTCATTCCTTCCTCTAACAAATGTGTATTTCTTTTAAACCTTCTTTTAAAATGTTATCCTAGACCTTTTTCAAGTTTTATTTTCTCATCAATATTTATTTTTATAAGTAGACTGGAGACAAAATATTTATATTTTGGAGTATGAACAGCTGAATGTTATTTTACTTCACTAATACTTTCTGTTATTACAATAAATACCAGGCAGAAATAATAGAGTTTTAGTCCAAAACATTAATCATATAGTAGACTTGTTCCCTTAACGGGAATCTGCAGATTCACTAAAGACATTTTTGTTTGCTGGACAGGATGGGTCTTTATTGAACAGATATTTGGCAAAATCCAGATGAAATACAAATACAGCTGCTAGTGACAGTGAAAGAATAGCATGTTTATATACCAATCCCAAAACTGGTCTACTTGCATTGTATCACTTTAGTTCTCCACTAAAGTTTTGTTTCTTGGTAATATTCTCCATAGTTTTAGTCTAATATCAAAACATTTAATAGCAAATATTAAATCCTCACATCTAAGCAAGGATTCATTTAAATAATAATTTGCTTTTTAGATTTTTACATTTTACATTTCAATAATGCTGCAAAAAAAAAAAAAAAGACAACAATTCAGCTAATGTCAGTCTGAGATATCAGCTGGAGAGGCACAAACATTTAGCATCCAATCACAAATAATTTGGGCTGCAATTTTTTTTAGAGCACAGATGTTGCATTTCAGGTAATTTTAGTGTAATTTATAAAAGGACATGATAAGGGAAAGGCAAATTTTCTCTGCAACGTTAATTCTGCTACCACAAACAAGTTCAAAGTAAACTAATAGGCAAACCAAACCAGTTCAGGCTACGAAAACTGTAATTCAAGCAATTTGATCCATGGTCAAGCAATATGACAAGCTCTAATGGCCAAAATATTAGTCCACTGAATGCCACGTGGGCAATTAAAAAGAGTCTTTAGTGTGCTCTTGGTAAAACTTCATGTAAATAATAATAAAAATATTATAAACAAAAAAATCCTGGGCATATTTACAAAATCATCATTAGCTAAATTTCTGCATAAAGTAACTGCAGATATTACATATGCTTATATCACAGACAGTGATCAAGAGATATGCCCAGCCAGCTTTCTGCTAGAAAAATGAAAGGAGTATTGGTTTCTTGGGAAGGGAGAGGAGGATTGACAAAGCTAACCAAATGAATGTTAAAACATCTGCAGGATAACATGGATTATTTAATCATAATTTGTTAATAAAATAACAGCAAATATAATCCTCTAAAATCTAGCCAGATATGTGTTTTACAACATATAAAGTGAGACTGACATCTGCAAGCTGCAATCTGCACCCTACTTCAATAATGCAACCACAAATAATTAAATTATGACCAGATTTTTATTTTCTCAGTAATGAAAAACTTTTACACGCCACTCACCTCCATTTTCATAGCTATCATAACCATTAGAGGGTCTCCAATCTGAACCTTATCCCCTGCTTTCACAAACACCTACAATTCAAGAGAAAATTGGGAACAAAATTATGCATCTCTGTACCATTAAAAATCATCAGCTGGATCTTGGCTAGCACAATCCTGTGAATGACTGTGGTTTTGCAAAACAGCCTCAGAATCCTTTAACAACTCTTGTGGAAATCTCTTTTCTTTTGAAATTTTTCCACTGTACAGTAAAATACACAAGACTTACTGAGCTAAAGAAAAAGAAACAAAACCAGAAGCAGTGGAACACACAGCTTAACAAAAAGGCATTTCTGAATATTTCTTTTTTTTTGCAAGTGCATGTACAGTCTCATTCTTTTGGTTAGATGAAATGGATCAGACAGCCTGTAACACTTCAGGGAACTTTGTCTTAGTAATTAAGATGAAGAGAAAAGTATTTAAGCAGTAGGATTAGTTAAATATCCAGATGTTCCAGAGTTCTAGAAAAAGAACACTAGAAACCTGAAAAACTCTGAGGTGGCTGCTGAAAAGTCAGAGTAAACAGGGCTTTTTCCACACCACTGACATTTCTGGCTCTGATTCTTTCCTGGCAGCAGAGAAGCAAGCACCCTTTCTGGAAGATTGAACTTAGATATATATATTGGAGAAATAATCTCCTATTATAATTACCTTTTCAACAGTGCCTGTCATGGGCGCTACAGCACCACTTTGCACTCC